ATTATTTCCTTTATTTATTCACTTAATTTCATGTATCTATTAACCGGTTTAATTACAATTAAATATGCTAATTATAATTTTTATTAATTATAAATGGTCCCAAATGTCCTAGTTAGTCATATATTTAATCTAGCTTGCTCCCATATTTATTTCATAATTATTTTCGTCATTTAGTTAATTATTTACTAAATGTGTACAACTTGGCCCAATTACAATTAAATCAATTAAAAAAAGCTACAAATATTATTTTTCAATTATTCTTGGTCCGAATATGTATCTTTATACCAGGTATTTAATTTATATTTTTCCAGATTTTATTTATTTCATTTACTATTTTATTTTTAATTTTTTATTGAAAACGGGCCGAACCGGCCCAAATACGCGACCCGGCCCAAGAAGACTGGGTTGTCTTCTTCCCAGCTCTTCTCCAGGTCGCGATTCCGGCGACCGGAATCCCGAAAACTCCGGCGAGCGATAACTTTACTTACAGGTAACGGATTTCGACGATTCAAGTTGCAAAATGATCCTCACGTCGAGACGAAGCTTCCCCACCCCTATGTACGGCCAATTGTCCGCTTTTTCTGAAGACCCGTTTCCATGGCTTGCAACTCCGGCGACCTCTAGGATGCTCCGGTGACTACGAATCGGTCTGGAATTTATTGGGAAGTATTCCTAGACCTCTCACGACCCTCCTCTATCGTTTTTACGAAGTTTGATACGTAAAATATTATAGGCATAAATTTTCCGGCGAGATTATGTATATATATGTATATGTATATATAGCTTCTATCTCTCCGATTTGCAGTGTTTAGGATGGCTAAGAGGGTGTATTTATAGGTCTAGATGGTCCTTATGGTTTATTTTATTTATTTGATAATTGTATGAATAATAATAATAATAATAATAATAATAATAATAATAATAATAATAATAATAATAATAATAATAATAATAATAATAATAATAATAATAATAATAATAATAATAATAATAATAATAATAATAATAATAATAATAATAATAATAATAATAATGTCTATACATAATGATAGGTTGATAGTTGATGAACATGGCATGTGTATTGATCCCTGATTTGATTCCCATTTATATTGATGTTTCATTTTATTTTATTTTATTATTATTATTTTTAATTACTTAAATGTATTTTGAGTTTTACATATAAATATATGTACATAATGTATATACATTATTTGGTAGGTGATCTTAGCATGTGTCATTGTTTTATGATATGATATTTTCATTTATTAATTTGATGCTATTATTAGTAATTTATAATATTCTTACTATTTTTATTTATTTATTTATTTATTTATTTATTTATTTATTTATTTATTTATTTACTTATTTATTTATTTATTTATTTATTTATTTATTTATTTATTTATTTATTTATTTATTTATTTATTTATTTATTTATTTATTTATTTATTTATTTATTTATTTATTTATTTATTTATTTATTTATTTATTTATTTATTTATTTATTTATTTATTTATTTATTTATTTATTTATTTATTTATTTATTTATTTATTTATTTATTTATTTATTTATTTATTTATTCTGTCACCTATATTTTATCTGATTTATTTCCATTTTTTTCGATGCTACATAAGTGTTTAATTCTATTGCATGTAGTGTGCGTATATTTTTATACACCAAGTATAATAAAAAAAATATTTTGATCTTACTTTCATTTGATTTATCAGATATAACTTATCTGATTTATTTATTTATTTTTATTTCAAATTTTCAAGGTATCACATTCTACCATCCTTAAAGAATGCTTCGTCCTCGAAGCATAAACTAAGACGAGAATTAAGTATGAAGATGAAGTATTATAGGTTTATAAGATATTACAACCTGCCCCCCTAAAAGAAAGGTTACGTCCTCATAACCGAATATTTACCTTAATTGAAAAGTTCAGGATACCGTTTACGGATATCCTCTTCTGTCTCCCATGTTGCATTCTCGGTCAAATGGTTTGACCAAAGTACTTTTACCATCTTAACTGTCTTCTTCCTTGTCTCTCGGGTCTTAGTATCGAGAATCTCTATGGGTTTTTCTTCGTAGGATAATGTCTCGTCCATTTCAATCACCTAATAATATAACGGTTAACTTATATTCTTTTCAATTTACGTTTGGCTCGTGTTAAGTCTAGGATTTCTTACCTCCGGATTGATGATATGTGACTCATCTCGAACATACTTCTTTAATTGTGATACGTGAAAGACGTTATGTACCTAGCATATATCGGTATGTTAAGAATGTATTTTAATCGTAGAGAAGTATTTGATTTCAAATCGGTTGTTACCTTATCCAACTCCGTGGGTAGAGCTAATCGATATGCCACTTTTCCCACCTTCTCTAGGATGTCATAGGGTCCGATGAATCTCGGACTTAGTTTCCCTTTCTTCCCGAACCTCATTACGCCTCTTGTAGGAGAGACTTTGAGTAGAACTTTCTCCCCTAGTTCGAATTCAGCTGGTTTTCTCCCAAGATCGGCATATGATTTCTGTCGGTCTTGGGCAGCCTTCATCCTTTCTTGGATGACCTTGATTTTCTCAATAGTATCTTGCAAGTATTGTGGTCCTAGAACCACCTGATCGACCATGTCACCCCAACATAAGGGACTCCTACACTTTTGACCATATAGAGCTTCGTATGGGGCCATTCCGATGCTAGCATGGTAACTGTTATTGTACGAAAACTCTACCAAGTCTAGGTGTTCATCCCATGATCCTTGCAAATCAAGAACACATGCCCTCAACATGTCTTCTAATGTTTGGATTGTTCTTTCGGTCTGTCCGTCCATGGTTGGATGGAAAGCAGTACTTAACTTCAATTTTGTTCCCATAGCCGTTTGTAATTCTTTCCAAAATTGGGATAAGAATCGTGAATCTCGGTCTGACACGATGTCTTGAGGTACTCCGTGGTGTTTGACCACGTATTTGACATAGGCTTTCGCTAGTTTCTCCATGCTCCAGGTTTCATTCATAGGAATGAACCTTGCAGTTTTGGTCAATCTATCCACTACCACCCAAATTTTATCTTTCCCGGACTTTGTTAAAGGTAAACCCCCGACAAAGTCCATTGAGATTGAATCCCATTTCCATGTTGGTACTTCCAAGGGTTGCACGAGTCCTTTGGGTTTGCATCTCTCCGCTTTGACTTTTTGGCAGTTCAAACATCGGGATACAAATTCAGCTACTTCTTTCTTCATTCCCGGCCACCAAAAGTTCTTTTTGAGGTCTTTGTATAGTTTGTCTCCCCCGGGATGTACCGAGTAGGGCGTGTTGTGTCCCTCCTCCAAAATTTGTTTTTTAATATCTGCACACTTCAGTGGAACACACCACCTTCCCTTGTATCGGATGCTCCCATCTTCATGTACCTTAAATGGTCTGTTGACGCCATCTTTCATTCCTTCCTTGATTCTTTCGAGCTTTACATCTCCCGGTTGTCCGTTCTTGATTTCGTTAAAGATAGATGGTATAACAGTCATAGTACATAACTGTATTTCACCATCTACTTCGCCATATTGCTTTACTTCCAAGCTCAATCTTTGGAAGTCTCGGAATAGTTCTTCTGGTAATATCCATGTTGCTCGGCATGAGTGCTCAGATTTCCGGCTCAAAGCATCCGCCACCACGTTAGCTTTTCCCTCGTGGTATTGGATTTCTAGATCGTAATCATTGATAAGCTCGAGCCATCTTCTTTGCCTCATGTTAAGCTCTTTTTGAGTGAATATGTACTTCAAGCTTTTGTGGTCAGTGTATATCTTACAATGTGTTCCGTATAGGTAATGTCTCCAGATTTTCAAAGCAAACACTACTGCAGCTAACTCCAGGTCATGGGTAGGATAATTGACTTCATGCACCTTTAGTTGTCTTGATGCATAAACCACCACTTTCCTATTTTGCATTAGCACACACCCCAACCCCTTCTTGGATGCATCACTATAGATATCAAATCCCTCCGTCCCTGACGGTAGTGTCAAGACCGGCGCAGTTGTGAGTCTTTTCTTCAACTCTTGGAATGCTGCTTCACAATCTTCATTCCATTGGAACTTGGTTGTCTTCTTTGTCAGGTTGGTTAGCGGTCTTGCTATCTTGGAGAAATCTTTAACAAATCTCCTATAGTATCCCGCTAGACCTAAGAAACTTCTTACCTCTGTGACCGAGGTAGGTGCACGCCATTCAACCACCGCTTCAATCTTCGATGGATCTACGGATACGCCTTCCTGGGTGATGATGTGACCCAAGAACGCTACCCGATCCTGCCAGAAGTCACACTTTGAGAGTTTGGCATACAACTGGTTCTCTCTCAAAGTTTGTAACATGAGTCTCAAGTGTTTCTCGTGATCCTCCAGGGTTTTTGAATACACAAGAATATCATCGATGAATACCACCACAAATTTATCAAGATAAGGTCGGAATACACGGTTCATTAGGTCCATGAATACCGCCGGTGCATTTGTTAAACCAAACGGCATCACAGTGAACTCGTAGTGTCCATACCTCGTGCGGAATGCTGTTTTTGGTACATCTTTTTCAGATATTCTCACTTGATGATATCCAGAGCGCAAGTCTATCTTAGAGAACGTGCTAGCCCCCTTCAATTGATCAAACAAGTCGTCAATTCGGGGCAATGGATACTTGTTCTTGATAGTTGCTTGATTCAACTCTCGGTAATCGATGCATAGCCTTAGACTCCCATCTTTCTTTTTGACAAATAAGACCGGAGCGCCCCAAGGTGAGACACTCGGTCTTATGTACCCCTTCTCTAACAACTCCTCTAGTTGTTCCTTCAGCTCCTGCATTTCTTTCGGTGCCATTTGGTAAGGTGCTTTTGAAATTGGCGCGGTTTCGGGCATCAACTCAATTGAGAATTCGACTTCTCTTTCGGGCGGCATCCCTGGAATCTCTTCCGGAAATACGTCCGGAAATTCATTGACTACAACAATTTGGTCAATGTTTGGCTCCTCTGTATTCACCTCTTTCATAAAGCACAGGTAGGTTTCATACCCCTTTCGGATATGTCGCCTTAATTGTTGCATAGTCATCAGCTTCATACTAGGCTTGGATGTGATTGCTTTGTAAGATATTCGCTTCCCATTTGGACCCTTCAAGATCACCTTCTGTTCATCACAGAGGATCCTGGCTTTGTATTTCCCCAACCAATCCATGCCCAGCACTATGTCTATATCTTTTAAGTCAAATTGGATTAAATCTCCAGGTAGGTTGGATTCGGATATGAGTATGGAAATGTTGGAGTATACATTTCCACAAGTTACGAATTTATCTGAGGCAGTTCTTACATTCAAGTCTATTCTAGCCGTTGGTTCAATCTTCAATTTCTTAATGAAACTAGAAGATATGAAACTGTGAGAAGTACCAGAATCGAATAGAACGTAAGCAGACTCAGAATTTACAAGGAATGTACCTGAAACCACATCATTAGCATTGGCTTGGGCCTGATTCATCACCATGATTCGCCCTTGGTTTGGACGGTTGCCGTTGTTTCCGCCATTTCCATTGTTCCCCGCCATTGCCATTGCCACGATTATTCTCCCCTCCTCCTCGAGGGTTGCGGTTGTTGTTGTTGGCGGCGGCATTGTTGTTGTTATTTTGTCCTCCATTTGGCCCAGCTTGGTTCATATCTGGTCTTCCTCCATCACGGTATTGCACCTGGTTCACTGGTGCCCCATTGGTCTTTGAGAGACACTCGAAGGTTCGGTGCCCTAGCTTCCCACAATTGAAACATTTTGTCAGGCTTCCATCGCAGTTAGCACCGGGATGATCTCTCCCGCACCTCTTGCAGTAGAAGTGCCTATCTCTGGGAACAACTCTTCGATCATTTTGTTGGTTTTGACCGTGGAAATTTCTTCCACCTTGGTCATCTCTCCTCCTCCTCCTCCCTTCTTGTTGCTGTGTAGGTGGGTGCACTCTGACCCTCTTTTCTCCTCGACCTCCATCTTCGTCCCTCTTCATCTTCTGGTTCCTCTCTCTTTGTAGTTGTTGAACTTGATAGTGAACTGCAGCTCTATCATAAGCATCAGTCAGAGTTTGGCAACCCAAAACAGCGACGATTTTCTGCGTATCATAGTTTAATCCGTAGATAAATTTCTCAACTTTGGTGCTTTCATCAGGCACTATTGTTTTCGCAAATGGCGCGAGGTCCACGAATTTATTGTGATATTCTTGGACACTCATGCCCATCTGTTTCAAATGTATGAATTCATCACGCATGGTGGCCTGAACGTGTGCAGGATAAAAACGTTTCCTCATGGCGATCTTGAAAGCTTCCCAATTGAAGTCAGGTTGTTGACGTAAAGTTGGGCCTGATGAGACCCACCAGTTATCCGCCTCTTGCTGTAAATAGTAAACAGCAATGTCAACCCTTTGCTCTTCCGGACAGCTCACCGCGTCGAAGAGTTTGTCAAAGAGTCGGAGCCAATTCTCGAGGATACGAGGATCTTCTTGCCCATGAAAGCTTGGCGGGTTGCGAGATGCCACTCGTTTTGCGGCATCATTCCCGTTGTTCTGGTTTTGGTTGTTCTGGAGCACAGTAGCACCCAATGTGTGCATAAATTGTGCCAGTTGTTGAACGCTTTGTGCCAACTCAGCATTGGTGGGCGTGTTATCAGGGTCTCTTCTCGGTGCCATGATATCTTAATGACGTAAAGTATTCTTGTAAGAATTTCTATATTTTACTCCTAAGGATCCTAGTTCAATTAAGGATTCCATAGGCTATGCAACATGATCATATAAAAATGTACATAACAATCATACAGAGGATTCATACTTCACATAAAAGCACTTTCACACATAATGTTTGTACATACCTTAGCCACTTCGGAATTTTGCCTTATGAGGCATTCCCATTTTATCATTTGGGGTTCCCATTTCTCATATGGGCCCACAATTAGCATAATTATCACATACATGATACATGTAAGGAAAATAAATACTCACAAGGTCCTCACCACGTTCCTAAAAGGCCATTTCCTAGTTATATTATCTTTCCTAATCTTAAAAATATTTGAAAATCTCCCTTTTGAAGGTACAATTTCAAAGGTTTCCTTAAACGATTTCGAACGACGAAGTTTCAGCACAAGGAGAAATTCCCAGGTAGTTGGACGAGCGCAAAGGCTCAATTAAGAACCAACAGCCTTAGACTCTTATCGTCTTGGTGACAGAATTTCTCCATACAACCTATTACCTCGTGTTCTAATCCCTTTGGAAAACCTAAGTCTCTGATACCAACTTGTAACACCCCCATTTTTCCCACCAAAATAAAATAACATTTTGAAATGAAAACATCTTTATTATAAAACATATTTAGAGTACAGCGGAAGTCTTTAATGGAAAAACAGGTGTGTCACCGCCACACTCAACCTATACATGATTGAGTGCACAGGCTATCCACCATTAATTCAAGTAGCCATCTGATAAAACTTAAAACAAGTTTATGGATTACAAATTTAAACAACAATAATTAATCAAACGTGTGCAACTAGCGGAACACTCGGGCAGCAAGTACATCAACCTTCATAATCATAATCATATGTACAATAGAGCAAAGAGAAAAAGAGAAAAGAGACAAAAATTAGCTTTAGAGCTAAGTAAGATTCCACCCGAACCCGTAAAATAATATAATTTGGAAAATAGGTTTTTGTATGTGTATATATATTGAAAAGTAGTCTCTCATATTTCCAAAATGGTTTAATGTCATAAAATAATTTCCACAATAGATAATATCATCATTCAATTCCTCCAAAAGTAATACTTTAGATTCTTTTAAGAGTGGGCGAAACTCAAGATTCCTCGAGCCCAATGAGTCGTTGTTATCTACGACTCATCCCGGAATTCCGGCTCCCACTGACCACCAATTGGAAGCTGAATTTCTACCTTAAGTGTGCACACCCTCTAAAAGGGATTCCAAGCCCTCCGAGTAGTAAGAAACCCAAGTAGGCAGGATGTTTTCTACCACCTACTCACAAGGGACATTGTCCAAGGATAAATTAGGTAACTACTACTACGACCACCAAAGGATCTTTGATCCTCAAATAAAAGCCCGGGATGTCTACCGGAGTATGTCATTGCCGGACTGGTTACCGACCTAAATAAATTTCACCAAAAGTAGTAGTAGCCCTAACCACCCACGCCTCGTGTTTCTCTCGAGACGTAAGAATATATATTATGAAAACTGTAAGTTTTCCCCAAATCATTCTTGTCACATTTCCTCAAAATATCCTTTGTAATAAATATAAATCCACCAATATTCTTTAATAAAAAGAATATACATTTAATCATCCATAAAAGGTAATAATCCACCAATATTCATATAGTCAAAATATTCTATCCATGTCAAACATATAATTTCCAATTCATAAATAATTCACATAGTGCAAATATTGCATACATATAAGTACGAGGCAAAACATTTTGGTTGACATAGAACTTACCTTAAATTGCGATAATCTCCTTAATAAAATCTCTAGCTTGATCTTCACTTGAATTCTCCTTCTAATATTGATCAAAATTCTAAATCAATAACTATTCTATTATTTCGTTATTTCTTTTATATCCAACCTTTAATTACTTTAACTTCATAATTCCTTCTTTAAATATAAATATTAAATTAATAAATCTTACTAACTGTTTATTTCCAGTTCATTCTTATTATTTTCTTTAATTATAATAACCCAACTCGGCAGGCCCGGTCCTGACATTTTATGGGCCCGGGACAATACAAATAAGCTGGGCCTCAGGGATAGCGCGAGAATGTTTATAATGTTCTTTTTTCTATAAAAATCTACTAGTATAATTTAAAATTATACAATATTACCGTCAAAATACTAGTATAACACATAAAAAAAACCAACAAAGCATGTGGTTAGAAAATATATATAGAGGGTATTGAATCTATTGATAAGTGACATTCGATGATACAATGTACCTAACAGCCGAGTGAAACAAGTATTGCAACTATATATTAGGCACAAAAATAATTTTGAATTAAAGAAAGTTGTGAAAGTTATATCTTGTATAAGGAGTAACTATTTCATATTTTAAATCACATTTTCACTAGACAAAAATAAATTCTAAGTTTCTAAATTATGGACACTAAAGTTCAATCTTTCACTAAAGAGAGCATTGGAGAAAATTTGTGAAATACATCAATGAATTCTAGATATACATAAGACATGTACACTAAGTCACTAAAAGATTAAATTTAATGTAATAATCCGTAATGATTCAAAAGAAATGGTGAAATATGTTTCCAACGAATTCTAATGTAAATGTTTCTAAATTATAGACTTGTATCGTGTAGATGGTAAATAACAAATTAGAAGTATCTAAAAATATAAGTTTGATTTTATTTTTTATTTTTTATGGATTTAGGATGTATATATAATTAAAATATTTATGTACACACATATATGTTTGAGAAATTCATGGGCCCTACTGGAGCAAAGGGCCCTGGGCGCATGCCCCTCCTGCCCATGCCCCAGGACCGGCCCTGTAACTCGGTTTTTCTTAATTTGTTTGGTTAAATAGTTAACTAGTCCAATTATATTAACTACATAATAATTTCATTATTTCGAATTTAAATAATCAGTTTTAGTTCAAAATTCAGTTTACATAATTTATATAATTTATTTAATAACCCTTTTAATAATAACTTGACTTAGGCAATAATTCGAAATAATAATCATTAATCATAATCTAATCTCAATAACAATTTTAATTAGTTCAATAGTTTATTTATACTAACTAACCCAATTAAATTAATTTATCCAATCCTCCAGTTTTATTTATTTGACTCACTAATTTAATTGAACTAACTAAATCAAATAAATAAGTTTAATTATATCAATATAGCTAAATACGTTAATCTAATTCAATTAAGTCCAATAATCAAATTCTAATCTCGTTTTAATTTTCTATTTTTAATATAAAGTCCAGAAATGTTATCAAGTCTATAAATTAACTAATTTATCCATTAAACTAATTGATTTAGTTAAACTAGTCCAATGAAGTCAATTAACTAACTTATTAAGTACACATTACTTAATTAATTTGTTTATATTCATAAACTAATTGTTATGAGTTCAAATAGTTTAATAATTTATATGGAGTCCAAATCACTAATAATCAAGGATAATAATTATTAATTTAATCACGCTAATTTAATTAGTCAACTAATTCAATAATTTATTTATTAAGTCCAAATATAGTCATTCATTTATACTAGATAACCCAACTTTATTTTCTTTTCCTTATTTTATTACAAACATCATTTTAAGTCCAGAACATTATTTTCAATCTTAGTGATTTATTTATTTCACCATTAATATCAAAATTTCCTTATTTAATTACTTAACTAGTTTATATGGCTCAATTAAATTAAATAACTTAATCATCACTTTTATAAATTACTAATCATCCATAACTATAGTTTGGGTCTATACTTGACCTAGGTTGTCCATATATTTATTTTAGAATTATTTCCTTTATTTATTCACTTAATTTCATGTATCTATTAACCGGTTTAATTACAATTAAATATGCTAATTATAATTTTTATTAATTATAAATGGTCCCAAATGTCCTAGTTAGTCGTATATTTAATCTAGCTTGCTCCCATATTTATTTCATAATTATTTTCGTCATTTAGTTAATTATTTACTAAATGTGTACAACTTGGCCCAATTACAATTAAATCAATTAAAAAAAGCTACAAATATTATTTTTCAATTATTCTTGGTCCGAATATGTATCTTTATACCAGGTATTTAATTTATATTTTTCCAGATTTTATTTATTTCATTTACTATTTTTTTTTTTTATTGAAAACGGGCCGAACCGGCCCAAATACGCGACCCGGCCCAAGAAGACTGGGTTGTCTTCTTCCCAGCTCTTCTCCAGGTCGCGATTCCGGCGACCGGAATCCCGAAAACTCCGGCGAGCGATAACTTTACTTACAGGTAACGGATTTCGACGATTCAAGTTGCAAAATGATCCTCACGTCAAGACGAAGCTTCCCCACCCCTATCTACGGCCAATTGTCCGCTTTTTCTGAAGACCCGTTTCCATGGCTTGCAACTCCGGCGACCTCTAGGATGCTCCGGTGACTACGAATCGGTCTGGAATTTATTGGGAAGTATTCCTAGACCTCTCACGACCCTCCTCTATCGTTTTTACGAAGTTTGATACGTAAAATATTATAGGCATAAATTTTCCGGCGAGATTATGTATATATATGTATATGTATATATAGCTTCTATCTCTCCGATTTGCAGTGTTTAGGATGGCTAAGAGGGTGTATTTATAGGTCTAGATGGTCCTTATGGTTTATTTTATTTATTTGATAATTGTATGAATAATAATAATAATAATAATAATAATAATAATAATAATAATAATAATAATAATAATAATAATAATAATGTCTATACATAATGATAGGTTGATAGTTGATGAACATGGCATGTGTATTGATCCCTGATTTGATTCCCATTTATATTGATGTTTCATTTTATTTTATTTTATTATTATTATTTTTAATTACTTAAATGTATTTTGAGTTTTACATATAAATATATGTACATAATGTATATACATTATTTGGTAGGTGATCTTAGCATGTGTCATTGTTTTATGATATGATATTTTCATTTATTAATTTGATGCTATTATTAGTAATTTATAATATTCTTACTATTTTTATTTATTTATTTATTTATTTATTTATTTATTTATTTATTTATTTATTTATTTATTTATTTATTTATTTATTTATTTATTTATTTATTTATTTATTTATTTATTTATTTATTTATTTATTTATTTATTTATTTATTTATTCTGTCACCTATATTTTATCTGATTTATTTCCATTTTATTTTTATTTTATTTTTTTTCCGATGCTACATAAGTGTTTAATTCTATTGCATGTAGTGTGCGTATATTTTTATACACCAAGTATAATAAAAAAAAATATTTTGATCTTACTTTCATTTGATTTATCAGATATAACTTATCTGATTTATTTATTTATTTATTTATTTTTATTTCAAATTTTTAAGGTATCACAACCATATTATCCTCCACGTGTTTTTCCTCTTCCCGAGCTTCCCAAATGCGTCTTCATTTCTGTTCTCCCGATGCCTCCTCATTGTTTTCAACTTCACGCCTTTAGTTGTGCTAAGCGCTGTTTCTGAAGTAGACTCCTTCCCACCCCCTCCCATCCTGCCATCAGATTTATTGTCCTCCATTTTCTTGCGATCCTGGCTCGAGCTTGAAGATCCATCCACTAACCATTTATGTCCTCATGTGGGACTAGTCTTCACCCCATTACATGCTCGAAGAAGAACTCCAAAAGTTTTTTCCAGTACCGGGTCTTCTTCATAAGCCAGAGGGCAGAATTTATCAGAATGCCCTATGATACCATAGACAAAACAGAAATTGGGCAACTTCTTATACTTAAAATCTACCCAATGACTCACTCCTACTTTCTTTAAGTTTGTACCCTTTTCAGAGGCTTTTCCACATTCATACACACCCTAACTCTCATATAAGATTCTCACTTTTTGTTATACTGATTATCATTCATCAAACTCTATGGAACATTATGAACTTGCACCCAAAACTCGCCCTCATTTAAACAAATCTTATGTGGAATATCATCAGGCTTAACTTCTTTCAAAATCAACAAATTCCGCTCAAACTGCCATGGACCACCATCTAGAACACGTTTCATATCAACATAATGGTAAAAAGTAAAAAGGTACCTCTTATCACCAACTTCTTTGATTGAAAAACCCTTCCCCAGCCTCCACAGGGATGCCACGAGTTCTTTAAAAACAGGAAATTTGATCTTCCTATTCGTCAACAAGACTCCCACGACCGGAAAGCTCGGTCGATTCTCTTCCGTCGGAATATCATCAAATTCAGTTTCGAAGATCTAGTTCTTCTTCTTCCGCGCCAATCGCCATCTTTTATACTGGTCCACAATCTTTTCCATGCAACCCTCTATTTCGTTGCACACCTATCCGACTCGCCTTCCAGAAGCCAACCCTCCGCCCGCTGCTTCGCCGACCTGACATGCCCGTCAAAACCGTCCACAAACTGCCGGTCCGAACAAATCAGAACTTCACCAAACTCCTATGCTACCCCTTCTTCCGAATTCTAATCGCAAATGAAAAACGAGTGGCTGGAAGAACCCAGCCCACTCCTCAGCACAGGCCGATAGCAGACGAAAACGAACCAGCGGCTGGCCTTGTGGCAAACCCTGAATAAGTGACAATTGAATGCTACACTTTCTAATAAGCATAATATTTTAATTGTCCTTGTTCTAATATTATTAATTTGGGACATTGATAGTTAATAGACCAGTATGTGGATTAACTGATGACTATATTCCACTAGTCGCGAGTATAGAGATATCAAGTTAATAACATATAGTAGATGCTTGTTAGTGAACAAATTCACTGGACAGATCCAACTTGAGGATACTGCTAAGTTATATGTCATTAGTGTTGTCTCAATAATGACGAGGTGCTATATTCTTATACTTGAAATAACCATAATTACTTACATTAGAATTAATATGTATTAACACCATTAAATGTTATCTTTAAATGAGTAATTATAAAGGTGGTGATTGTACATATATGAACCATATAGTGGTAAGTGAATTATCAAAATAGATTTTTTCACTCTCGTATAGCGAGAGAAAAATATCTATAGAGCTACTTGGCAAGTAAGATTAGTCAGCATGGTCATGCGCAAATGAATTGTCATTTGCTCAAGATTAATTTTACTTGGTAATCATAAAATATTAATTGAGAATAACAAGGATGATACGACCTAACAATGTCTCAGTTAAGATATCGTTTGAAAAAAGAGAATTATTAGCACAAATTAACCATTAAAAGGTTATGTTAAATTTAATTGACATTTATATATCTTCGGTGGTCATAATGTCTTGCTAGAGACTGATTATGACTTGTGTGGCTAGAAATAATTTTCTAGTCCACTGACAATGATATATAAACCTACAGGGTCACACACCTAAGCGAGACGGCTCATTAATGTTTGTTTCTAACATTAAAATAGTCCGATTAGCCCAATTTGAAATAGGGTTTAAAATGATAATGGCTAGGGCTTCCAGGAGGGTTTTATTAGCTATAAAACTCCTTATTTCCTCTTCTTATAAGGTGAGCCACGAATTTAAGGATTAAAATTCATATCTAATAAACCTAGAGAGAGAGAAAGAAGAGAACACTAGCATGTTCCATGCGGGCGATCCAGTCATGTGCGTGTGGATACCGGTAGAGCTCAGGATTGATTTCTCGGAATGTCTGACATCCTTGCTTTGAGTTTGCAATGTATGTCTATCATATTCTTGTAATTTTGTTTATAGTAAGAACTAAAGATCCGGATGCTTTCTTCTGGGCAGATATTTTTTTTCCCTGCTGCGTTTTCTGCCCGATACCGAACATAGATCAGTTCCAAAAATCAGCTCAAAATCTTGCCATGACCGACGTTGTTGGATCTCCCCACTTGTTGCCAGAGACGCACGACCTTCAATTGCCCATGATGAGGATTCTGTCGTCCGGCCAAATATGTCCTAAAGATTGGAATCACCAGCCATCCCTGAGTTTGCTGGATGGGAACGTTTGCGTCTAAACATACCGCAGCCAAAACATCCAACTGCGCAACCACCGCCCCTGGCTCGGTCACAAGTGTTGTTGGTGGCGCATATATTATTGTCACAAGACATATCCAAAAACCGAACGTGTAGAAATTGTTTGTAGAATCCAAAACTATTGAAATCTAGTTTTGTTTCAACCAAGTAAAAGGCTAGAACCAAATACTAGAGCCACACTAGATGTGTATTAAAATACCATTATGGGATGTGTAAATATCTTATTCTTCAAATTGATAATCCTATTGGTTCGGATTTGTGAGTCATGTTTATGATAGGGAGAGTTGAGTTGTCGTTTTAGTCTCGCACCTTTTAACGATATGCGCTGTTAGTCCTAAGCTTTATTCATTTTCAGATTCAGTTATGTAACTAATAAACTTATCCATATGATTTTTTTTTACTTGGAGTATATTTTATGCCAAAAACTATCCTAGAAAACTTGTCCCCAATGCCAATTTTTCCATTGGAAACAATACATTGTCATGGCAAATTCCTTAATGTGAAGCAATCCATAGCAATATCGATCTCCAATTGAGTAAAGTTGCAATATTAAAAATGGGCACATCCATACATGCACAAGTTTTTTTTTTTTTTTGATAAACATACATGCACAAGTTAAAAGACTAAATCTTGAATTTCTCTTACTATATTAGAATAAATCGAGCGCAATAAAAAATAGGGAAAAGTATGAAAAAAGTACTTGTGGTTGTGCTCATTTTCAGATAGGGTCATGTGTTTCATTCTTTATCAAAGTGGTTCATGTGTTTGAATTCCGTTATCACAAGAGGGTCACGCCGTTAAAAACGTCTGAAAAAGACCGTTAAAAGTAACTCCGAGTTTCAAAAGTGCCCGAAAAATTAAAAGAAAAATATCGGAAGGTGCGCCTCAATAAGACGACCGCTATGCCATCTTTCTTTTTTTATTTTCAGCCACCCTTGTCTCTGGAAAGTTCACCGGAAAAGTAATATTAGTGAAATCATTTTTAAAAATAATTCAAACAGGTCTGAAAAATCCAAAGGCGAATGTGGTTTGGAGGTCATCTTGACGAAGCGCACCTTTTGGTATTTTTCTTTTAATTTTCCGGGCACTTATGAAAATCGGAGTTACTTTTAACGGTCTTTTTTCAGACGTTTTTAACGGCGTGACCCTCTTGTGATAACGGAATCCAAACACATGAACCACTTTGATAAAGAATGAAACACATGACCCTATCTGAAAACAGACACAACCACAAGTACCTTTTCTGTACTTTTCCCTAAAAAATATGAAGAAAAAATCTTAATGTATATAGTCTATATACAACCTATCAAATAAACTTAAATCTAAAAAATACAAATATCATTTCTTATATGAAACATATGTCATCTTCAAAAAATAAATAAATATGAAACATATGTCTTATACTTTTAGTAGTCACATCAAAGTACAAATTTATAATTATATGAAAAATATATAATTTTGGGAGAACTATCAAATAAGCCCTCGAACTTACATAAAAAGTGCAAATCACCGCTTATATAGGAGGCTCTGTCCGACCGTCGTCATTTGGGGAGGTTCCTGGTGGAATTTTTTGATTAATTTTTTTGAG